CCCCAAAACCCCAAAACCCCAAAACCCCAAAACCCCTCTATCACAAGAAATTAAGATAATTAAGTTTATTATTTGATAAATTTTACTGAAATTAAGATTTATTAGGAATTATGATAATCTATTGTAACTCAAAGTTAATAATAATAAGTTTAATATTTGATTATTTTTCTTATTCAAAGGCTTTTCCCTTGACTGTTGATACATTCAGCATGTCTTTTTAGCTGCTCCTTCAACTCCTTGTGATCTAAATGATTTTGATGGTGATGATTTATGTGAGAGTAACTATGAGCTGATTTGTCAATCTAATCTGAATATTAATCATAATTCATATAGTCCTAAATCTCCTATTTCATGATCGAAGATTTGAAGTTGTTTTTGCTAAGTAAAGCTTGGTAGTCTGACTATGCAGGAGAATCTATCATAAAGTTCTAACTTGGAGATGAATTATAATTGAAATGAGTATTCTCTATTTGATACTGATGATTAGTATAGATATCTTAGTTCATTGTCTCGGTGTATACATCTTTATCTGTGTATATTTGAACTTTTGATTGATACTTATTAGACTGCGTTTCTAAATAATAATCATAATACTTAATTAATACCTCTTTGATAAACAGTTCTTCTTTCACCTGTATACTAAAAGCCCTGAACAGAATCTGATTCAGTTTATGAATCTTCCCAATTTCTCTCATGATGAAAGCTACTGAAGTCCTAATTATAGTGTCCCATAAATTGTAAGCTATATATTATCTGAAGAGGCAATAATTATCCAAAAATGTGATAAAAGAGCAAGAAAAAACACCTGTAAATAATTTTAATCAAATGTGAATTACCAGCCATAGTTTTGATCACCTCCATAACTTTGAAAGTTATTGAAAGCATTTTAGTTGCTGCTCTAAATGAAGTTAACGATTGATCTTAGCATTAAGCTGAGAGAAAAAATAATAGCTATAGTATAAGTCCTTCGTTTTTCAAAAGATGAATTTTTTGTAAGTCTGTTGTTGATATAATATATTTGGAATATTTTGACACAAACCATAAAAGCAAATGTTAATAGGAACGTAATTGCGACATTAAGCGGATTACTTCAAAGTTATTAAATCTAAAAATTTACTTGTCACAATTTTGAAAGAGTGGGATTAAGTATTGCAAAAGAATGATAAAGTTTATGATAGAGAATGTAACTTGTATTCTTCTCCTTCGCTTATGTAGATTTATGCTTGAATCTGCCTATCTTGTCTTATCAATCATGATAACTTTAAGTCTATAAATTGAAGATTATTTAAGGAAATATTCTATTTAAAAAAAGTTCAGCTTACATATGAGTCAAGTAGCAAATTACAGAGCAGATATAGGTGTAAGTAATTGAAGACATAAAAATCATATAAACACAATCACCCCAATCGAATGCTGAATCAAGAAAGAATAAGCACATCACTATATTTATCTTTGATCAATTAACCTTATAAATTAGAGTGTTATATACTTACAAGTAAGTGTAGCTAAACTAAAAATATAGAAGAAGAGAATATCGATGTTCCAGCGTTTTTAATTTCTCATAAGTATTGCAATATTTATTATCCCTGAAAGCATTACCACTCCAGTGAGAACCAAGAGCAATATAAAGAAAACTTTTGAAAGTGGTGTATCATCATCTTTTAATTGCTGCATGTATGTCTCATTATTTAATTTCAATGGCTTAGTATAATCACTTTTAATCTAAGCTAGTGTAAATTAATTTCTTAGAATTTACCATGTTCCAATGAGTCATGTAATTGATCCTATTTAATCATTTTTTCAAGGTCCATTACTAATTTAACTATAATAATCTAGTTTATCTAAATAATTTTAGATTATTTGAAATTGTTGAGCTAATTGATAAATGGGGTTTTGGGGTTTTGGGGTTTTGGGG